CTCTTCTCTTCTCTTCTCTTCTCTTCTCTTCTCTTCTCTTCTCTTCTCTTCTCTTCTCTTCTCTTCTCTTCTCTTCCCTTCCCTTCCCTTCCCTTCCCTTCCCTTCCCTCCCTTCCCCTCCCCTCCCCTCCTCTCCTCTCCTCTTTAGAATTTACCTTTCTGGCCTATCTAGCCCGTCAGAACTCCTCCCTCTTCTCCTCAGCCCTGCCAGCGTGCTTCTCCCTCAGCTCCCCTACTTGGGTTCTATTTCCCCACAACTGAAGTGGAAAGGGGAAGAAAAAGGAAAGAAGAGACCTTGTGAGCTTCCCATGACTCTAGCATAGTAATGCCTCAACTTCTGCCTGATTTGGCTTCCTTCCATGATTTCACTCTGTTATCTCATAGACTTTGACCAAGTTTAACAGTTGGTTTTCATAAGAGGCACAGTCACGGTTAGAACTAGAAGTTTGGAAAACCACACACACACACACACACACACACACACACACACACAAAACAACTTGACACTGTCTTGCAAAAGTGAGAATTTATGGACGTTATGAACTCTACACACATAACAGTGCTTCAAAGAACTCTTCACATGTGTAGACCAGAAATATGAAAATGAACGTATACAGAATGACTGCACATGCCAACAAGCTTTTAGAAATCCACTCAATAGGCGTATTGATCACTATGCTACAGGACATTCTCACAAAGCAACAGTAAAGTTGAGTGAACTGTAAGAAGCAATGTAGGTAAATGAGTCTTCACAGTACAATCCTGGTTAAAAAGGGACAATATTTGAGAGCCAATTGCTCACAAGGTTCTTTAAACAATGTTAAGAACAACATTAATAAGACATGCTTTAAAATAAATACATGCAGGTAAGAAAGAAACTGTGCAGAAAAGGAAAACCAGGAATGAGAAATACACAGTTCATATCAGCAGATTCTTTGGGCAGGAGCAGAATAGAAGAACACACAGGTTTATGTGGTCAAAGACCTAATTTTTACACAGATAGATGTTTTGTGAGTGTTTACTAAATCAGCTAAGTAAATTGAAGGCTACATATGCAAAAATTGTGACTAACTTAGTCTTAAGTTCCTGTGTCTGTGTGAGTATTCCTATTCATATATGTGTGTGTGTGTGTATGTATATGTATATATATGTGTGTGTGTGTATGTGTGTATGTATGTATGTATGTATATATGTATATTTCAAACTGCAGACCTCACGCACTGAGGCCCTGAAGGGGGAGGTTTTTAGTAGTAGAGCCATCTGAGTCAGAACAATTTGATGACCTTTGCTTCATTGCCTTTGAAGGCCTACATAGTTCCTTAAATGTGTTTTAAAGAGCAGGGGCAAAATACCTAACTGCACTGCTCAGATACCTTGACATTAACCAGAGTCAGGCACATGGCTTGTGGAGGGGTAGTAGCCTAATGAACGTCCTCAGCCCAGCTCTTCCTTACAGTCTTCCACCTTAGCGTTCCAGAGCACTGTGAAGTGCAAGGTTGACCAGATGGCGTTCGCTATGTCGTTTCCTCTGGAATCAGGCCTTTAGATGATTTCCATCTACAGAAAATAGAAGTAGCTTGTGTTGTCACTACACCCTGACTGTGAACATTCATGACCTACACATTAACACTTGCCCTAGGCTTTTGTCCATATCATCCTGTCTACAAGGATCAGGTTCACATTTTATTGGCATTCTCCTCATTTTCAAGTCTCAGTTCACTTTTCACTCATTTGCCTTTCTCTCTCTCTTCTCTCTCTCTCTCTCTCTCGCACCATCTCTGTCTTTGTCACCATCTCTCTCTCTCTCTCTCTCTCTCTCTCGTGTGTGTGTGTGTGGTACTGTGTATTAATGATGTGTGTGAGCTGATGTTCATATGTGTGAGTTCAGGCACACATGTACCATGATGCAAGCATGGAGGTGGGAATATAATCTCACATTCTGGCCCTCACATTCTATTGTAGTAAGAAGGGCCACTTGTTGGTTCCCGGCTTTCAGCCCCAAAATAATCACACAGAAACTATATTATTTAAATCACTACTTTGCCCATTAGCTGTAACTTCTTATTGGCTAACACTTATATTGTAATTTAACCCATTTCTAGTAATTTGTGTATTGCCATGTGGCTGTAGCTTACAGGGTAAAGCTCTGTCTGGCTCCGTTGGGGTTACATGGCTTCTCTCTGACTCCACCTTCTCTCTCCCAGCATTCAACTTAATTCCACCCCCTCCCCGCCTAGCTCTGTTCCCTATAGCTCTGCTATAGACCCAAAGCAGTTCCTTTATTTATCAATGGTAATCACAGCATACACAGGAAAATCCCACATCATTCTGTTTTTTGACACCGAGTCTCTTCACTGTTTCCCCACTGTGTGCTTCAGGTTAGCTGTCCAGGAGTTCTCAGGTACTCACCCAGGAACACGATGATCACAGATGTGTGTGCACCCAATTTTCCTGTGGCTTCTTGGGATCTAAACTCACCAGGCTTTTGTGGTAATTACTGAGCCATTCCTGCTGCTCCTCAGTGGCCATTTCTTTGAATACCTGGGAAGAAACAACAATGGTTTGAATATGAAATATGCCCCCAAACCTCAAGCACTGGGGCCTTGGTGCTAGCTGGTGAGAAGTGGTTTGTTCCTGGGGACTCTGACCAAACCAATGGATGCATCTCTTGATAGATTTGCAATATCTTGGCATTATGGGAATAGGAAAAGGCGGAGCCTATATGTCAGAGCTGGACCTCTGAGGCCCGACTCTGCAAAGACGTGTCTTGTTTTCAGTTGTATAATGTGTGTGTCCATGTCCCCCATCCTACCCGCCCCCTCCACCACATGCATTTCCTGGATTTGAAGAGTTAAGTAGTTTTCTCTGCCCCACAATTGTGATACCATCGTGTTCTGCCTCAATTTAAGCTTACAGCATTCTAGCAAGTGAACCAGGAATGAAATCTCTGGAACAACAGGCAAAAACAAAAAACCAAAACCAACTTTCCTCTATGAGCTAGTTTCTCTCGGGTGTTTGTCACAGTAACGGAAAACCCAGCTGACACAAACACGGAGAACTAAGCCAGGCCTGCAACTTGCAAATTGCCTCGCAGGAGCAAATGTAGGCCTGGCTATGGAGGTGTCCCTCTGGATCAGAGGGACCAGTCTCTAGGCATGGTTTCTAGGCAGCAAGCTGTATGGACAGAACTCAGGTTTTGGAATTAAACCAACATGTGTTAAATTCTTGATCCCTCTTTCCCAATGTATCAAGTGTTTGGGAATTAAAATATTATTAATGAGAGAACCACTTACAAACAGTGCAGATGGTTCTGCCCACTGTTTCATTAAGCTAGTAGATGTAATTCAGCAGCCGGGAGGTGACACACTGGAACCTGGGGCTCACACAGGACCACCCATTCTGCCCTTCAGCAACGAACTGAAGGGTTTCCAAGGCACTTTTGAACATGAACAACTTTTTTTAAACTTACTTTAAAATTTAACCTTTGGGTGAGAGACGACTCTAGCTTTGTGAATGAGAAGCGCTTTCTCGTCCTATCTGAGTTCAGATTTCCTCATCCTTAGATACGCTTAGGAAGAATGCATTATTCCAAATAAGGACACACTGTCTCCTATGGTGATTGTTCCCTGCTGCTGTAACAGAACACCATAGAACACCTTAGTTCAAGGAGTTTATGAAGAAAAGAAGTTTAAGCAGAGCTCAGAAAGATTATCTCCCATTCCGCAAGCTGCTCATCCTGTAGATAGTTTCCTTTGCCTGGCCGAAGTTTGAATTTCATGTCATCCCACTTGTGAGCTCTTAGACTGTTTCCTTGGCTACTCCGCTTCTATTTAAAGTCCCTGCTTCTACCTGTGTTTGGAACTGTATGCCTTATTTTCCTCTAGCATGGGGCTTCTGAACTTCCCACTGTTGAGACCCTTTCATATAGTTCCTCATGCTGTGGTGCTCCCCACCTCTGAAATTATTTCATTGCTAGTTCATAGCTGTCATTTTGTTATTGTTATGAATCGTAATATATATATTTATACATAGGATATCTGATATACAACCCTAGTAAAAGGGTCGTGTGACACTCACCAAAGGGGTTGCAACCTGCAGGTTGAGAACCTCTTCTCTAGTAGCTTTATTGTTTCAGGTTTTAAATTAAGGTCTTTAATCCCCTTAAATTGATTTCTGCTCAAGGGGAGAGATAAATATGTAATTTCATTCTCTAATGGGTATATTCAGATATACCAGCACCATTTATTAAATAGACTTTTTTTCCTTTAGGGTGTATTTCTTGTACATTTATTCATGGCGTGCTTATTGAAAACAAAAGACAACTTGCAAGAGTTGACTCTGTCCTAACACCATGTAGGTTCTGGGCTTTGAACTCAGGTTGTAATGCTTGATAGCAAACACTTTTACCTGATGAACGACCTCACTAGCCCCAGGGTGTGTTTTTGATACTTTCCCCCCATAAGTAGGGGGTAATAGCTGTATGGCTTTATTTCTAGATCCTCTCCAGTTGTTCTATGAATCTGCGTCTGTCCTAGTGCAACGATGTCTTTGTCATTCTGGCACTGTAGTATTGTTAAAGGCCAGATATTATAACCCCCTGCTGTGTTCTTCCTGAGTAACAAATTATAGAAATGGCCTCTCAAAGGATGCTGGGTTCTTTCTACTAGGGATTGCTTTGGCTATCCATGGTTCTTGTGTTACCTTATATATTTTTGCGAGTTTTTTTTCTAGTTCTGTGAAGAATGTCACTGGGCAATAGGAATTGCATAGAGTCTGTAAATTATTTTGGGTAGTCCCAATCACGCAATACTGATTCTGCCGATACAGGAATGTGGAAAGTCTTTACATCACTGGCGTCTTTCACCTCCTCTCTCAGATTTGTTCCCAGACATTTTTATTTCTTTTACTTATTGTGAATGAAATATCTTCCCTATTTTTCAGCAAGTTAATTATTAACATATAAAAAGTTATTGATCATCATATGTCCGTTTTGTATCCTGTAACTTTACTGAAGCTGTTTATTAGATCTAAAAGTTTTCCTGGTAGAATCTTAATGTATTGAGTTGTCCCAACTGTGAATTAAAGAACTTTAACTGCTTTTCCAATTTTTTTTATCTCTTTCACATCTTTCTCTCATCTTATTGATATAGCTAAGAATTTGAGTACTATATTGAATAAACATGGAGAGAGTGGCCATCCCTGTCTCATTCAAGATTTTAGAGAAAATGGCTCAACCTTTTCCCCTTTCTGTATAATATTAGCTATAGGTTGTCATATACAGCCTTCGTTATGTTGAGTTACTTTCAGTCTGTTCACAGTTTTTCAAGACAGTTTTTCCATGATGAAGCCGTGCTGGGCTTTATCAAAAGTCTTTTCTAACTCTGTTCATGCGTTCTCTTGTCTTGCCGGGCTTTATATTGAATTGACCTTGCATCCCCGGAATGAAAGCAACTTGGTTAAGTTGCCTGTTTTCCTTAACGTGTTCTCGACTTTGATTTGCAATTCTTTTGTCATTGATTTTTGAGTGCATGTTCGACAGAGAAATTAATCTGTCATTTGCTTTTTGATTCCACCAGTTTTGGTATGAGGGCAATGCTGGCTTTATAGGATAAATTTGGTATTTTGTGGATCCGTTTAAAAGTGTTGGTACTGAATATTTCTTTAAAATCTTTGCAATATTTGAAATTTAGAAAAAAACCACAAAAATAAACATCACAAATACCACCATCACCAATCAATACACTAGCCAGTGAACTTATCAGACAAATCTTCAAAGAAGAAATATGAAGAGTTGTGGGTTTTTTTATTTTATTTTTAATGTTCGGCATTCTTAACCATCAGGGAAATGCAAATTCAAGCTACTTTGAGATTCAATCTCAACCCAACCATAACGACTGTCACCAGGAAAACAAAGGACAACAAATCCTAGAAGAGATGTGAGCGAAAGGGCTCCGTCACTGTTGGAATGAGCGCAGGTGACTGCAGCCACCATGGAAGTCCGGGTGGCATTGGCTCCCAAACAAAAGCAACAAACAAAGTAAACCGATCAGAATATATCTACCTTGAGAGCAATGACGCCTCTTGATGCATGTTTGAACAGGGCTCCGTGTTCAAACACTGAGTGCTTACATGTCCACTTATTGCTTCTCTAGTCGCAACAACAAAGGTGTTAAGGCAGCCGAGATGTCCATAACTCGATGACTGGGTAATAATTTTATTCCCCCATAAAGTAATATGAAGTTGTGAAGTTTGCAAGAAGATGAATAGTACTGGATCATATTATTTTGGTTGAGGTATCCCGGGCTCAGGAAAACAAACCCTACCCATTCTTTCTCATGTGCAGATCCTAGCTCCCAATTTTTATATTATACTTGTGTGTCTATGTGGGAGTGTGGGAATGGGTGGGGACAGAAGTCATGCAATTAGAAAGGGGCCCATAAGAGAAGAAAAAGAGTCTTAAGGAAAGGGATAGGGAAGGTAATAGAATTCACGTGACTTGAAGACAGAAGGATAGTGTGGGGGTGGGGCAGAAGGGTACAAGTGCTAGACAGATCAAACTAATGGGGGAGATGAGCAAGGTGTGGGAAACACTGACCAAAGCTGAGTGTTATAAAATGTCCTAGGATGCCTGTTGTTGTGCTGACTTGGAAATTCAGGGACAGAAAGACTGCCTCTGCAGAGGATTTCCAACACCGCATCACAACATGGCAGAATGTAAAACCCAAATTATGTAAAAGAGGCCCTGAGAGCCAGCTGAACTCACCCTAGAACAATTCACTCTGAGAGCTGGCTTGCTTCTGCAGCAATAGTGTTGGTCCATTCCTTTGGGCCCCACCTCTGTAACCAAATCACCTCATAAGGTCCATCTTTCATGACTGTTATATTGGTAATTAAAGTTCCAAAGTATAAACTTCTGGAAGACACAGGCCAAACTTTCAGCTTGCCATCTCATTGCTTTCTCCCTCTGAAGGAGTGGAACTTACACTCCCCGTCCCCTATCCCCACTTCCACCCCCGCAGTGCAAGTGAAGGCAGAACTTGCAAAATTACACAACAAAGAATACAAAGGACAGGACCTCAGTGCTAGGTCAAAAAGGTCACCTATCTCCTGCCTTTGGTCATCACAAGCAAGGAGGCTCATTACCTGGATGCCACCATGCTGGAAGGGAACTTCGTTGATAGGGAAAGGTGACTTTCTAGTGTTCTAGTCTGAGCAGAGAGGCAGTATAAACTTCTAGGACTGGAAATACTTCTCGATGATTCTAATCTACACCTATAAACCTCCAACCTGTGCCTCTTCCAGCCGAGGCTCAGGCATCCAGAAGTAAAAGCAAACTGACTCTTTTATGGGCTTTTGGATTCCTGGTACAGGGAATTCATACTCCTGGTAAACTTATTTTGTGTCTCTGAGTTTGGGTATAGTTTTCCAAGTGTCAATAGAAGTTGAGTATAGGAACTTTGAGCAATGAACAAATTGTATTTGATGTTCCAGGTACAGCCTGTTCCAGTGCTGTCAGATGCCTGGCCGTGTAGCCTTAGATAAACTTTTGTTTCATGGGTCTACAATTTCCCTTTAGATATATGTGCCCAAGTCACTCAAATGGTTATAGTAAAGATCAAATAGGGTAGCGGATGTGAAAGCACTCTGGAAGGTGGAGTGTTCTGTACAAATCAAAGAGGTTACTGCATGTATATGATCCCTGGTTGTGAAGGATTCTGATTGGGGAGCGCTCTATTAAGAATCCTGTAGCAGTTTGTATCTGAACTCCTAACACCAAAAATCTTGGCTTGAGGCCTCAAATTAATCCCTTATTAGAGATCATTAAATCCATCTGTTCATCAAACAAGACTTTGCTATATCTATTATACGATAGAATGGTTGAATGCAGTATGTTTTGTGGGGGAGGGGTGGGAATGGAAAAAACAAATTTAGAGCAATCAGTCCACCTGTAAAACAAAGTCCTGTGTTATTTGGATGTCAAACAATGGACAGAATGACAGAATCTACCAGGAGCTTTCTGCTGGCTGTTTCCACAACTCCCTGGAACGAGAGTGGAAGGAGAAGAGAATGAGCATGCTTGTAGAGTCTACAGTGTGCCAGGCGCCATGCCAGCCTCCATACATATGCCATCTCACTGGACCCTCACTGTGGCTCGACAAGATGCCTTACATCGTCCGCTTATCCCAGTGAGGAAACAGACCTTTGTGTCCATTGTCTTGGCCAAGTTCATCTCTGTAGCAAGGCCGAGGGTTGGTGATGTTATCCCAACTATATTTTGTCCCTTGAATCATTTCTCTACTCACGTTACTAAAAATCAGAAACAAAAACTAAACAAACAAAACAAAACAAAACCCGAACACACTCTGCTCAAGTATTTACCTGTTGGTTCATGGAAATCTTACTCTATCAATTCTAAAATCCCATAGTAAAGTAAGTGATATCTCATTTACACAGGACTTCGGTGTTTACAAAGTGTGTTCACATATTTTATTTCCTGATCGATAATGATCCTATCAGGAGGTCATGCGTGAGAGCCAGCATCATACAGATGTTCCGCAAGGGAAGGATCTGTGCTTCATTTGCTGTCACATTAAGGCTTCCCATCATGCTCAGGGTGTCCACAGAATGGCCTCTTCACACCCTTGACTATATCATAACAAAACATACGCTTTTGTGGAAAAGAGTGTGACTGTTAATCTATTTTCAGAATCAGCCCTGGATGCCAGCAGTTGTTCTGTGGTTGACTGCCTGTTGCCGTGTGTTGGATAGTTGCTTCGTTTTCACTTGTAATATGTCTGGTAGAAAAAAGTTCTTTTCACTCACTGTCTGACCAAAGATGGCTTTGAGCATCTAATCCTCCTGCCCTTACCTCCAGGTTCTGGGAGGACAGGTGTAAGGTGCCACACCTGGCTTATGTGGTACTGGGGACTGAAGTCAGGGCTTCAAGAATACTAGACAAGCACTCTAGCAAGTGAGTTTCCTCCTTAGCCAGGGAAAGTTCTAGAAGATACAGAACAGGCAACTCTGTTCTTTCCTTGTTGTCTGATTCTCCTTGTGGCATAGATATGCTCGTCAATCTGCTAGTTGTCCAAATTCTTTAAGGGAGAAATCATTTTACCACATTGAAGTCCGTTTTGAAAAGATAATACAAGATAATACAAACTGCAGATCCACTTGATTGGGTGCCTATTAGGTAGTGGATATCACTGTACTGGAGGGTTTTGTGTCAACTTGACACAAGCTAGAGTCATTGGAGAAGGAGCCTCAGTTAAGGAAATGCCTCCATGGGATCCAACTGCAAGGCATTTTCCCAATTAGTGATCGTTGGGGGAGGACCCAGCCCTTTGTGGGTGGTGCCATTCCTGAACTGTTGGTCTTGGGTTCTATAAGAAAGCAGGCTGAACAGGCCAGGGGGAGCAAGCCAGTAAGCAGTACCTGTTCTTGGCCTCTGCATCAGCTCCTGCCTCTAGGATTCTGCCTTGTTTGAGTTCTTATCCTAACGTCCTTTAGTGATGAACAATGCTGTGGAAATGTAAGCCAAATAAATCCTTTCCAATCCATCCTCCTTTCGATCTTGATATTTCATGGTAGCAATCAAAATTAAAGTCAAAATCCTAAGACAGCCACAACACACTGAGAGTCAATGGATTAACGAATTGATGTGGGGAAGCAAGGCACGTCTTCTGACACAAGCGTCATCTTCGTACTCAGGAGGTAGAGCTAGGACAGGTGTCCCAAGCTCAAGTCCTACTTGGTCCATGTGTAAGTTCCAGGCCTGCTAGGCAACACTATGAGACCTTGCCTCAAACAAATAAACCCAAACAACAACAAAAGAACAAATGTGGATTGGGACAGCCTTCAATCCCCATCCTCCCAGTTGGCTCCAATGTTACGAAATATACACACATATAAGCTGGCAAAGGTTTCTTTATTTTTAAGATTTAAAACACAAATAGAATTTCTTGGTGAACATGAATCTATATCTGTGGGGGGGAAATCAAGCACACACGCATAGGGAGCACATGTAAATATGTGTGAACTCAACAGAAGGCCTGTGGCTTGCAAACGTGCTGATTTCCCTGGTTTGATTTTGGACGGCAGTTGGAGAAAACTAGGTGAAGGGTGCAGCAAGCCACCGTTGATTTGGCCTTGCAACTTCCCGTGAGTCTACAATTATTTCAAAAATCCTATAACCAGGAGAGCTAGCATTTCGGCACTCCACGGGTCACTTGGTGGTCCTCTAAGAGACAACGGCCATGGCCACTCTGAGACCTGGAAGAGGTGGTCTTCTCTCTCAGGTTCAGTCCCCTCTTCTGGAAAACGGACAACTCTTCATTCAGTTCTAAAATTCTGAGACTGCGTGTGCAGGTTTTTGAGTAGCAAGGTATAACTGTTCCTTGGTCTGGGGCTGGCTGTGTTCAGCTCTTCCGTGTATAGTGCTCTTTCCTGGAGCGTGGGATCCTTCACCTTTCCCCACAGGATCCTTCCAAGGGTATCATACTAAGAAAAACATGGACTATTTGAAAGCAAAACATTTTAAGATTCATTCTATTTCTCTCTATGTGTTTATGTGCACATGTGTGTGTGTGAGGGTGCCCGCAGAGATCAGAAGAGGGGTGTCAGATCTCTTGGAGTTGGGGTTATAGGCATTTGGGAGTCACCTGATATGGGTGCTGAGATCTGAACACCGGTCTTCGGACAGAGTAGTGAGTGCTCATAACCACTGAGTCGTCTCCCGCCCTGAAAATGTTTCTATCAAGCAATCTGTACCCAGTGTCCCAGAAAGTGAGTGAAAGGGAGAGGTGACATTACCTGCTGGAGATGCTCACCTCTTCTGGGCCATGCAAGTGCATGCTAACTTTTCTTTGCTTCTTTGACCTCGCCAGGCTGCCCAAACTGCCAGCTGTACAGGCAATGGCCCTTCAGCTCCCAAATGATAAGAGATTGTAAGGGGGTTTGTGTAAGACTCAGAGCTTGTTCAAAATTGTAATATCTCCCTGACGTGAAAGACGGAAGTTGTCCTCAGATGCATAGCAATTAAAAGCACAGAGAGCTGGAGGGGAGGGGAGGGTTATGTCGTTCCAGATTTGTGTACATCTCCTGAACCTTGGAAACTGCTCAGCTGGGAATAAATATTTATCTAGGATACAAGAACAAGAATGATCCTTACAATGTCTATGGGGGTAGCTGGGTCAGTGCATTATTCAACGACGTACTTTCCTATGATCTTGTCTGTTTATCTGCATTTATCCACATAAATAGCCACATATTTATAGGATAAAGAGATGGATATAGACATTTCCTTACTACAGCAGGCTTGAATATAAGACTCTGAAAACAGTTGAAATAGCCATAGGGAATTAGTTTAAGCAGTGGTTTTCAATTTTAGCAGAAATGATAAAAAAGAAAGATGACATCTCTTCTTTTGTGCAACAAATATTACAAAATGCTATTAATCAACAACACTACAGCCCCATGAAAAAGAAAAGGAATAATGTTAGGCAGATGTTCTACACAAGAACTTCTGGAGACTACTGTCAGCATGCTGGCAGGGAAAAGGTTCTTCAGTGGGTCAAATGTTGATATCTGTAGAAAGCTTATAGATTAACATTAATATTTTATCAACCTTAATTTCCCAGCTCCTGGTTTGACTAAATGCTGTGAGGACACTCACAAATAATCCATATTTACAGCTCTTTTATAAGCCTGAAATCATTTTATAATACAGAGTTTAAATTTTATCTGTCCCCTGCTCAAAAAGTGGAAAATTATGCCTGGTACTAGAAACCTAGCCAGCTATTCGTGGCTATTGGGAAGTTGTGGATCTTGCGGGAGAATGTGTAATCACTACGACACCAGGATAATCTGATGTGGGATGCTTTGCTTTTATTGGTTAATGAATAAAGCTGTTTTGGACTATAGCAGGACAAGATATAGTCAGGCTGGA